TCTGGTACAAAACTGGTGATGTGGTACTTCATGTGGTAAACTTTGTCTGATACAAAACTGGTGATGTGGTATTTAATGTGGTAAACTTTGTCTGGTACAAAACTGGTGATGTGGTACTTCATGTGGTAAACTTTGTCTGGTACAAAACTAGCTGATGTGGTATTTAATGTGGTAAACTTTGTCTGGTATAAAACTGGAGATGTGGTATTTAATGTGGTAAACTTTGTCTGGTACAAAACTGGTGATGTGGTATTTAATGTGGTAAACTTTGTCTGGTACAAAACTGGTGATGTGGTATTTAATGTGGTAAACTTTACCTGGTATAAAACTGGAGATGTGGTATTTAATGTGGTAAACTTTGTCTGGTACAAAACTGCTGATGTGGTATTTAATGTGGTAAACTTTGTCTGGTACAAAACTGCTGATGTGGTATTTAATGTGGTAAACTTTGTCTGGTACAAAACTGGAGATGTGGTATTTAATGTGGTAAACTTTGTCTGGTACAAAACTGGTGATGTGGTATTTAATGTGGTAAACTTTGTCTGATACAAAACTGGAGATGTGGTATTTAATGTGGTAAATTTTGTCTGGTATAAAACTGGTGATGTGGTATTTAATGTGGTAAACTTTGTCTGGTACAAAACTGGTGATGTGGTACTTAATGTGGTAAATTTTGCCTGGTACAAAACTGGTGATGTAGTATTTAATGTGGTAAATTTTGCCTGGTACAAAACTGGTGATGTGGTACTTAATGTGGTAAACTTCACCTGGTATAAAACTGGTGATGTGGTACTTAATGTGGTAAACTTTACCTGGTACAAAACTGGTGATGTGGTACTTAATGTGGTAAACTTCACCTGGTAAAAAACTGGTGATGTGGTAGTTAATGTGGTAAACTTTGTCTGGTACAAAACTGGTGATGTGGTACTTAATGTGGTAAACTTTGTCTGGTACAAAACTGGAGATGTGGTATTTAATGTGGTAAACTTTACCTGGTATAAAACTGGAGATGTGGTATTTAATGTGGTAAACTTTACCTGGTATAAAACTGGTGATGTGGTAGTTAATGTGGTAACCTTTACCTGGTACAAAACTGGTGATGTGGTATTTAATGTGGTAAACTTTGTCTGGTACAAAACTGGTGATGTGGTATTTAATGTGGTAAACTTTACCATATTATCATTACAAGTATGATTATCCGATTACATTGAAGAATTAATTGAACATTTTCTGAAACAATGACGATACATGAATTCTTAAACATCGTCAAAACGTCGTTGTTGTTGTTGTGTTTAATTCAAAGCTGTCGACGCCTTTTCTATTCTCACAACATATGTTAGTTTTGTTTGTATACGAGTGTGTTTTTTAATCCCGGTTGAACCCTCCTAGTCTGTATGCTCACCACATTACATCTAGTGAAATTAATTCCCAAGTGTCTCACGTGCAGAATTCTTCAGTGAAAAAATAGGATAACACCAGTTTCATGCCTGCTTCGTTCCTTGTCATTGTGGAAAGTTGATACTTTATCAATGTCGCTAAACAATGCGTTGACATACGACAGTGCGTTTCGTTGCTCATGTTCCTAATTAAGTACAATTATATGCGTGTTGTTTTTAGACACGCAAATCTTGCATCACACTAGGGGGCCATGCAACTCACTGTCACTTGACTGCGTTTTTCTGTTTGGTGCTTGAATTTTTCTTCTCCAACCCATTTAGTCCCTGTTATTGAACTGAACTATGCTCTTTTAAAAAGTTCTAATATTTTTTTTTATGTCCAGAGTTATCGTAACTAGTGGAGTCTCTTTACACTTCCATAGAAGAAACTTAACTGTTGTTGAAAGTTATGAAACAACACAGTTTGTATGTTTCTTTATCATCATAAATTCGTACATAAATACACGCGTAACAA